CTGGGAGCCGGCAACCACAGCCACTCAGTCTTGGAAGGGTTGAGCCTGAGTCTGTTTCTCCCCATCCAGACCCGTACGGCCTCCAGACACCGGGCCATCACGTCAAGGGCATCATTGGGGTGACCTGGGGTGGAAATGTACAGCTGAGTATCATCAGCGTACTGATGGAAATCCACCCCGAAGCCACGGATGATCTCCCATCACAATGTAAGAATGGAAGAAAGAGAACTAGCATTTGATATGAGCCTTGCTATATACAATGCCTAGAGCCATGGTGGCGAACCTATGGCACGCGTGCCACAGGTGGCACACAGAGCCCTCTCTGTGGGCATGCGCGCCATCGCCCCAGTCCTAGGCCTTCAGCTGGGTTTTATAAAACCTTTTCGCTTTAGGCCTCCGCCACCGTGTGCAAAAAAAAAAAGGTTCAATCAATCAATCAATTTCAACTTCTCGCAGGGAAAAAAAAGATGTCGCAAAGTTGGAATTGATTGATTGAACTTTTTAGTCCCACCCAGTCTGCCATTACCACCACAGCCACGCCCACCCAGTCGGCCACATCCACCCAATGGGCCACACCCACCCAGCACCCGATGATACATAAGTGGGTTTTGGGTTGCAGTTTGGGCACTCGGTCTCTAAAAGAATCGCCATCACTGGCCTAGAGTTTACATTGGTGGTAGTTTTTTTATTTTTATTTTTTTGCTGTTAGGAACTGTTGTATCTGCAATTAAAGAAAATCTTATCAGAACGCTGAATCTCTGACTGCAAGTGTTCTACATGAAGGGATACTCTAGGATACCTGACAAATTCCATGAAATTCCAAGTCTTTTTTTAAAAAAAGCTGGCAAATATCTATGTTGGCTAACACTCATCCCATATTTGTGTGCATTCTGCTTCTTCACATCTATGCTTCAAACATTTCGAGCTTCACTTTCTCTAGTCTCCTATCTACTCAACTTTCAATTTTCATTTCTGCAACTCCACTGCCAATATGGAAGTCCTGAGAAAAGAAGAAAGCATGACAGAGAAACTCAAAATAATCCAGCCTTGATTTTGTTTAGCATAAGTTGGGACACAGAGAAATGTGAACAGGCTTTCAAGATGCTATTATCTTATCTTACTATAATAAAAAAAACCTCCTGCGGAATCTCTGCTGCACCTGCATGACCTGGCCTTTTTTGCAGGGTATATACTTGCTCAGATTGTAGAATGAAATCTGAAGAGTATTTAATCCCTTGCATATAGGTTGTATATAGGTTGAGTTCAACAGCCAATAGTTCAAAGACAAGTTATCTCTTTCATAATTAGAATCATAAAAAATTGTGAAGGATATGTACAGAGCCAACAGTAAGTCACTTCATTTTGGCCAATGACCAAATAGAACTTGAAGTTTAACAGGGCCACCTTAAAAACGTTGCTGGAGTTAGAATAGATTATAGACTAACAGAGTTGGAACGGACCTTGGAGGTCTTCTAGTCCAATCCCCTGCTCAAGCAGGAAACCCTATACCATTTCAGACAAATGGTTGTCCAATCTCTTCTTAAAAACTTCCAGTGCTGGAGCATTCACAACTTCTGCAGACACGTTCCACTGACTAATTGTTCTAACTGTCAGGAAATTTCTTCTTAGTTCTAGGTTGCTTCTCTCCTTGATTAGTTTCCATCTGTTGCTTCTTGTCCTGCGTCCAGGTGCTTTGGGGAATAGCTTGACTCCCTCTTCTTTGTGGTAACCCCTGAGATATTGGAATACTGCTATCATGTCACCCCTCATCCTTCTCTTCATTAAACTAGACATACCAGAAACCGTTCTTTATATGTTTTAGCCTCCAGTCCCCTGATCACCTTTGTTGCTCTTCTCTGCACTCTTTCTAGAGTCTCAACATCTTTTATACATCGTGGTGACCACATCGTGGTGTGATAAAGCACATCGTGGTGCTTTAGCCTCTCTCGTTTTGTGCTTATCCATCTAGAAATCTACCTCATCTCTCTATACATGGGAGATTGCTTCAGGAAGCAAAAGAGCACCTATGAAGAAGGAAAGACATAGAGCTCTAAAACAGCTGATTTTAGATTAGATGTGTCTAGAACTGGGAGTATCCCTCTTCTTGTGGTTGACTGAATTTCTCTCTCTTTTCCATTTAGTGTAGTCCTAAGGAATGTTTTGTGTATACCTGCTTCATATCTTACTGTGAGACCAACTGTGACATCATACAACAGTTATTCAAATTTGCCAAGGAATTATTATGTTAGAAACAATTCTTTTACTTTCCACTCCACATTCTTTATCACTGTTTGACTTACTCAAACTGGAGATTGGATTTTTACATACTGTTATGCACAAACACATATATGCACCCATCTTTCTTCAGATTTGTAACATTAGTCTCAATAAAACTAACAAGAGCAGTAAATGAATTAGCAGGTGTGTAGGCGACAAGCCTAGCCTACAAAACAAAATTATGAATAAGGTAATAAAGCAGCTTCCAGGTATGGGATAACAGTCTTATTGCTACAAAAATAACTAGGCCTTCCATTGTACTTTCTTTGTTTCACACTGCAAAAAGTTGTCATTTCCTTATTTTGAATAAACTCAGATAACAGTTTACATTTCACCCAGAAACATTCTGGCATAATTATACAATTGTAACATTCAACACAAATGCAGGCAGCAAACAGATAAGTGTCAAAAAAAAAAAACCCCTTCTGAAAGGATAGCCTAGATTTCAAATTTAGTCTTTGGCACTGAAAAGTTTCCTTAAAAATAGTGCAGTTTAATAGAGTATAACAGAAAGCAAGAAAGATATTTATATTTTATGCTTGCTACTTAAAAACTAGCACAGGCATTTGAAATAGAAGGAATAAGTGGTTAAACACCAAGCAGTATGGAAGAGAATACCAAGAGCAATTTGCATATAATAATAATAATAATAATAATAATAATAATAATAATAATAATAATAATAATAATAATAATAATAATAATAATAAAAGTTGGAAGGGACCTTGGAGGTCATCAAGTCCAACCCCCTGCTCAGGCAGGAACCCTACACCATTTCAGACAAATGGCTGTCCAGTCTCTTCTTAAAAACTTCCAGTGTTGGAGCATTCACCGCTTCTGGAGGCAGGTTGTTCCATTGGTTAATTGTTCTAACTGTCAGGAAGTTTCTCCTTAGTTCTAGGTTGCTTCTCTCCTTGATTAGTTTCCATCCGTTGCTTCTTGTCCTGCTTTCAGGCGCTTTGGAGAATAGCTTGACTCCCTCTTCTTTGTGGCAGCCCCTGAGATACTGGAACACTGCTATCATGTCCCCCCTCGTCCTTCTCTTCGTTAAACTAGACATACCCAATTCCAGCAACCGTTCCTTATATGTTTTAGCCTCCAGTCCCCTAATCATCTTTGTTGCTCTTCTCTGTACTCTCTCTAGAGTCTCAGCATCTTTTTTACATCGTGGTGACCAAAACTGGATGCAGTATTTCTTTTATGTGACCACCAAAGAAGTGGTCCTAAAATGATAAATGTCCTAGCCACCCAGGAGAAATTAGAGTACACCACTTCAGCAGCCCTTCCGTCCTGTATCTGGACATAGCTCCCACTCAAGGCACAGCAAAACCTGTGAATGTCAATTAATTAATCTCTAAACCTAACCTGGTAGGAGTGAGGCCATTTCATTTCTCCACCTCCACTCCAAGGGCAGCCAACTGGGATTTTGCAGAAAGCGCCTTTTCAAGTTGCAACTAAACAACTTGAAACTAAACAACAACTGTACATTTTCCCACAGTAGCCTTGGCTCTCTGTTCTACACATTCCTCATTTTCTCATGAACACTATGCCTTAACCCCTCTGTCCCCTTGTTACATCACAATGAAGCCCACATGTTGGCACTAACCTTTAACTCTCATGCTTCCTTTTCCTTCCTTCTCCCTTTTCCTTTCTTTAGCAGAATCCCCCCCCTTCCTTCCTCCCCTGTTCCATTTGGTCAGTGTGTTTTTTGTGGGGAGCTTGGATAGATACCTCTATGTTTCTTTATAAAAAAATCTTCATAAACCCAGTGTACACTTGGTGGAGCCCTAAGAACAAAGCAGGCTTATCAATGCCATCTCCTGCTCACAAAGGGCCTTCCCTTCCCACAAATGCTACAGTAGTTCATGGGCATTCCTCCGTCTTCAAGAAAACCTTCTGGGTTCCTGCCTCTGCATGCACTTTACCCAAAATCTCACATACGTAGCAAGAGCAGCTTCACAACTATCCTCCAGGGGTCACACTTGGGTTATGTATTGCAGACCCCCCCCCCCCGAACACCGAAGCAGCCTGCTTCAGAACCATTTACCCACTTCCTTCTTCATTAAGATTCAAATGGAATAAGCAGTGTAGAAATTGAACGGATACAGAAAATGTGCTCCTGTAGTCAGTAAACATTTATTCACCGAGCGGAGATCTCTTCTGCTCTAGCCCCTCTCACATTGTCTCTGTTTTCTCTATCCTTACTGCTTGCTGTTTTAATGCATAATTAAGAAGGTCAGGATTAATGAAGCAGTGTGGAGAAAAGTTCATGGAATCCCCAGGCGCTATTTATTCTATTAGATCTCAGGCGTGAATGTCAGATTGGCAGTGTTAAAGGCAGAGGCAGTGAGGGCTGGATGCATCCCAGAAGCAATACTATCAAGGGAGACTTACCTTCAGTGTCAAGTCATTCCTGAGCTCCTTGCCTGCAAAAATCACACGTAACTGGTCAACTGGAACTCCCTGTCGCTTAGCAACCGCCTCCTTGAGCTGGAAGATGCTGGTATCTGAATCAACCTCCATTGGGAAACCATGGCTGGAGTTGAACCTGACAAACACTGACCAAGAACAAGATATTTGTTTTTAGGGGGGGAAAAAAGTGCTGAGTGTTTTGAAATCTGATGCATCTGGGAATGACAAAAAGAGACGGCAATTTCTGAAACACGGATAGCAGCACAATGGTATTGTAAAACTTTGCTTTATCAATTTTAGAAGGAAGAAGTGATAGATTACAGTTTTGTGATTTGGAAAGGCAATTGCAAATAAGAATCCCTAACAGGTTATTGTCTAAACTAAATTAAACATTCTTTATGGTCCAAAGAGGATCTTAAATTACATTTCCTTGAGGAATGTAATTTATCTGCAATCTGAAGACTAATAATAACTAATTTCCTCTTATTCTAAATCCTCTCAGGAGACCAGAATATATATACTATAATGGAAATGAGGAGTACATGTCTGCTCACATACATACATGCACATACACACAGAGTGTTAGCCTCACTGAAGTAGGCTGCTAGAACATATTGGAAAGAAAACTTTAAAAAATACAAAAATGTCAGTTCATACACACTGGGCTCCCAGAGATCCAACTGTCTAGAAAATAATAATGGAGAAAAAATTATATGCTGCCTGCAGCATGAAAGTCTTTCTTAGAATTCTTAAAATAACCACAGAAAGTAACTCCTGTTAATATAGTTGGGTAATGTTAAAAACAATTGCCAAACACATTGTAATAGTACTTGGTCAAGACACACATTAATATCTGTCCCAATTTTTTTTTCACATGTTTAGAAGGAAAGTGATTAATAATATAACTTACATAAAAATGTAAATGTCATTGCAAGGAGTTTTGGGAGCATGGAAAGTTCTACTTTATGTGCATGTGCATGCACCTTCAAGTCTATGTTGACTCCTGGCAAATACCTGGACAAGTTGTTGTAGTTTTCTTTCCAAGATTTCAAAGGTGATTTGCCCTTGCCTCGTCCCTAGGGCTGAGGGAGAGGAACTGGCCTATTGTGTCTAATGCAGGGTTAGAACTTATGGTTTCCCCGTTTTTAGCCCATTGCCTTAACCATTACACCAGACTGGCTTTCTTCTACATTATTTAGCTCTTCTTTAAGGATTGGTAAAGGATATATGTTGAATATATATGTTGATATATGTTGAAAGTGCTTCCAAAACTAAAACTGGATGGAGATTGTGGAGGGCATAGGGAATGGCTCTGAAGGACAGGAGAAGAGCTGGTATTAAGACAATGGTGACGGAAGTGGTGCTAGAGTCTGGAGCAAGAAAATAACTTAAGAAAACATCTCAGACAAGCCCGTTCATAATTCACACAAAGATAAAAAAAGCTCATTCAGATTTCCATATAGCTGTTCCAATGAAAATACAGGTAGTTCTCCTTTACTGAGGACTAGGATTGCCTCAGACAGTGATTATTTGCAGTTACAATGGTGATGAAGAAGTAACTTTGCAATCAATCCTTACATTTACAATCTTTGCAGGTCTATAAAGCAAAGGAAATCTGAAGTAGATCATAAACACATTTATGGTTTCACTTAGAAATTATTTTGCTTACTGACCTAGTTGCTGGTCCCAACTGTGGTCACTAAACGATGGTTACCTGTAACCCTGACCTACATGTCTTTAGTCTCTTAGTCTGGTCTAACATTTAGAGCTAACAGGATTAAAGATAGCAACCATATGCTGCCCAGAGCCCCTTTATGAAGATGAGTGGTTAAGAAGTTTGAAAGAGTTTGATAGATAGATAGATAGATAGATAGATAGATAGATAGATAGATAGATATAAAGATACAGTAGATAATCTCAATAGTATAATCAACCCCCTCCCCCCTTTTAATGTATGTTGAAAGGATGGGCTTTTAATTGTGATGTTATAATTGCCATATTTTTTGACATCCTACCCCTTCAATATTAAAAATCCAATATAAATCCTAAATAATAGAACCGAGTAAGATACAGATTGCTCAGAATTTCTATCCTTGTAAATTACCATATAACACTAAGGTAGATAAATGAGAGAATACACCATAGATCAGTGGTGGCAAACCAATGGCACAAGTGCCAGAGGCGCCACTCAGAGAGGGCATGTGTGCCCTCTCTGTGGGCACACATGCCATCACCCCAGCCCCGCCTCCCCCACAGCCCCCTCCACACCAGCAGCCACCCCCGGAGGAGAGTCGGCCCCAGGCATGGCCCGCCTTGAGCAGCGCAGCCAAGGACATGGCAGCCGGGCGGTGGGGACAAGACTCTGCCCTTGTGCCCCGTCGCAAACAGATGCTGCTGTGGGGCATGGGCGGAGGGCATGGCTGCCATGGCACTACTGGACCACCTGGGCGATCTGCGGCAGGCCGTGGAGGTGGTGGGTGGCCCTGCGGGTGGGTGGGTGTGGGGCAGGGGTGGAGCAGGGGCGGTGCGGGGGTGGGCCAGTTTTTGGGCACTCAGTCTCTAAAAGGTTCGCCATCACTGCCATAGATGCTTTCTGAGAAAAACTCTGCAGAGGTAGAGCTCCTCTTTTCACAAAATGACTGCCATGATGACTATGGGCAGTAGTATTAAAACACTGTTATATCTGGTAATGTTGTTTTATGCTGCCCCTTCCACTTCCCATATATTCTTTACCCTTCCAACTTATTTTTAGACTAGGTGACAGAGTCCCATACACATTTTAAAAGGACATATGGGCTTATTTTTTGACACAAAGAGAGTAAACCAGAAGTTCCTACTTTGCTTTGTAGCATGCCCACTTGCCTTTTAAATAAATAAATAAATAAATAATGAATGAATGATTAAAAATTTTAAAAATTGTACCTGATGGTGTTTGTGGGTTCTTGCTTGCCTAGCCCTGATATAAACAATTGAACACAGCCACTTCTTATAGGTCAGCTGCAACTGACATTGTTGCTAAAGGTTAGTAAGAAATATTTTCTCCTTGACTTCAGTTCAAAGACAGCTCCTAGAGCATAGCTGAAGTTTTTCCACATTTCAAAGAAAGCTGTCCCTTGTGGATTTTCATAGTTCGACCTGCCACAGTCTTCCCTGTGGCAATAATTAAAAAAATATACCCACATCTTTATCTGTTGTAAGTCTGAGACTGAAAGAACATGAATCCCTTAAGGAGCAAATTCTTAAGAAGTGATTTAGATGTTAAGTCCACTGCTCCATAAAACAGCCTGAAGCCCTTTTTGCCATGTTACATTATTTGACATGACCTGCTTATTGAAAACCATATACAAATATTGCTACACAATGTGCTATACAGAGAGCCACATATTCAAAGGGAAAAAAACCTTCACATTTAAAATCATCACATGGCAATAGTTCTTGCTTAACAATCACCTATTTGGTCATAGTTCATAGTTACGGCAGTACTGACAAAATGGACTTATGACCAAGGGCTGCATTGTTAAGAGTTTGGCAAAAGTATTTTTTTAAGTTTGATGTTAAACTTCCAATTTGGGTGATACCATCACATATTTTTTTGACTATACCAAGATTTGTGGTTATGGAGGCGCCATCTTATAAAGATTTGTTATATTTGAGTGGCAGTGGTGAATGGTGCCTCAAATCAATAGAAGTTTTGAGACGGAAGTATCCAGATTTTTCCTGGCTTGTCTATAGACAAATTCAAGAGAGATGGCGAATTGATAAAAAAACTGCTTTTTTTATGGAAAATGGGAATTTTTTGAAACAAGTAAGGGATGATGCTAAAGGACATATTAGAAGGATATATAATGTTTTATTAGAATTGGACT